TCATGTATGGCTGCGAGAGTTGGACTCTAAGGAAGGCCGAGTGCTGAAGAATAGATTCTTTTGAACTATGGTGCTGGAGAAGACTCTTGAGAGTCCCTTGGACTGCAAGAAGGTCAAATCAGTCAATCCTAAAAGAAATCAACCCTGACTGTTCCCTGGTAGGCCAGATAATGAAACTGAAGCTCAAATACCTTGGCCACCAAATGAGAAGGGAGCACTCACTGGAGAAGACCCTGATGCTGGGAAAGATTGAAGAAGAAGACGGGGACGGCAAAGGATGAGATGGTTGGACAGTGTCATCGATGCAACGAACATGAAGTTGAGCAAACTTCAGAGGACGGCGGAAGACCGGAAGGCCTGGCGTGATCTGGTCCATGGGGTCGCGAAGAGTTGGACTCGACTGTGCGACTGAACAACAACAACAAATATCTAACTAAAACAGGCGTACAATAGACTACCAACGTACATAAATACCTCATAAAAAGAACAAATCTAGAGTCCAGTGGCACCTTTAAGACCAACAAAGTTTTATTCAAGGTATGAGCTTTCGTGTGCGCAAACACTTTTTCAAATACAGTGGACATGAAATACCATGCACACAAAACCTCGTACCTTGAATAAAACTTTGTTGGTCTTAAAGCGGCCACTGGACTCTAAATTTGTTCTACGGCTTCAGACCAACACAGCTGACTACCTGGATCTATTTTCATAAAAAGAATACAGATGATTTTTCCTTTTGTCGTGAAAAGGGTTAGAAGTAACTGCATCTCTGCATCGTAATGTCACAACACCGTATTTTGACCATTAGGTATGATTCAGTCTCTGCCCACCAAGACATTCATTCTCGATTGTTATGCACTGTTTTATAGACTGAGTAATTCTAAACTGGAAATGTTCTGGATGGTAGACACTGATCACTCTTCTGCACATTCTCCAGAGATCACCTAACAAATTATTCAATGCTTCCTTCACTCCACAAGATTAACACCCTTTATTTAGATTTCTTGCTCGCGTCACTTGGAGAGATGACAACTGTTAGCACACAAGCCAAATAAGACCAATCCAATAAAGCCTCCGTGAAAATGTAATATATTGCATTCTACAGACAGACAATTTACCCAGTATCAACTTAACCCCAGATAGCGAAAAGCCGACCCAAAGAAGAAAGATTTACACCACTAGAGAAATATGCAGAGCTGCTTCACGCATTATGGAAGCTAACAGGTACATGCGAATGTTGGCTGATAGGAGAAAAGTCAGATTTGAGTCCAGTAACACTTTAGGGATCAGCAAGAATTTCAGGGAATGTGCTTTCGAGCGTCAAATCTCCCTTCATCAGGCACAGTAGAATAGAAGGGAAGATCTGAATCCTTTTATCCTAGTCAGAATGTGGGCGAGGGGTGTCGTATGGAAGGCTCCTAAAGCAGGCAAAGGTACTTGGGGCTCTTTAGCTAGGAGAAACGACGGCTGAGGGGTGACATGATCGAGGTTTACAAGATTATGCCTGGGATAGAGCAGGTCGAGAAAGAGGTACTTTTCTCCCTTTCTCACAAGACAAGAACCCGCGAGCACTCAATGAAATTGCTGAGCAGTCAGGTTAGAATGGATAAAAGGAAGTCCTTCTTCACCCAAAGAGTGATCGACACATGGAATTCACTGCCACAGGAGGTGGCAGCGGCGGTGGCTACAAGCATGGACAGCTTCAAGAGGGAACTGGATCAACGTATGGAGCAGAGGTCCATCAATGGCCATTAGCCGCAAGGTATAGATAGGAACTCTGGGTCTGGGGCAAGGGATGCTCTGTCTTCTTGGTGCTTGGGAGGGGGGGAGAACAGTGGGACGGCTTCTACTGTCCTGGCCTCACTGCTGGACCTCCTGATGGCACCTGGTATTTTGGCCACTCTGTGACAGAGTGTTGGACTGGATGGGCCATTGGCCTGATCCAGCTTCTCCTATGTTCTTATGTACAATGCATATTGTAATCAGTTTGATAAGAGCAGAAGGGAAATGCTTCTGGGCATCTGTAGTGAGATAAAAATTCTATGTACCTGTCTACCCTGTGTGTTCCTAATACGCTACTCCACGTGAGAGACAAATGACCACGTTTTGAACCACTGCACACTGCGTGTACAAGCTATAGGGAGCCTCAGTCTGTATACAATCCCTCCAGTCAAAAAAGATGAGTGTGACTTCCATACAATAATGCTGAATGCATGATCATGTGTTGTCCTCTGTACTGATTATCATCTGCTGCTTTGAAGGGCTGTCCGTGCTAATTTACGTCTGCTTTATCGTTTGTTTCTTTGATTTATTATTGTTTCATTGCTTGGAAACGTTATTGTTTTAACTTGTAAGGTGTCTTAGGCATTTTTGTTAATGGAAAGGAGAGCTTGAAAACATCGTCTACAAATAAATAAATAGTGAAGCAGCACCAGAAGTACACAGTGCAGAAAAGGATAATTCTGTTGTTTTTTCTCCAGTCTGTGCAGCAGTTTTCAGGCTCACAGTCCACGCAATCCTAAGGGCACAGGAGATTCTAACTCTCTTAGCAAGTCTCTTCAAGACGTTTACAGTTACAAGACAGCCACTTATCTGCGTCTTAACAGATATTTTTCTACCCTTTAACTGCATATGTTGAAATTCTGATCCATGGCAATGATTTATGTCTGTAACTGTATTCACAGGAACATGTGTGAATACCTTTATTTACTTCTCCGGGGCTAGTCAGGACCAATGTTCCCTCTAAGCCGTGGGGTCTTGTGAGCAAAAATTCTACTTTGTGAGCTACTGGCATTAAAGTTGTGAGCAAGAGATTTGGCTGCTGGATAAACTAGTTTGCTCTGGAGCCCTCCTTCCTGAGCCAAGACAAAAATGTGTGAGCCAGAGGCTCAAAAACTGTGAGCTAGCTCACACTAACTCAGCTTAGAGGGAACACTGTGTGCCTTGGTACTTCTAGTCACATACATTTCAAAGAACAGGCATGCATAATGCTGTCGTCCCCCCCGCCTCCCGCCTCCGCCATGAAGACATGGAATATCCAAAATTATTCACATGCTTAGGGTGGAGAGCACTGACAGAGAAATTTTTCTCCCTCTCCCAAAATACCAGAAGTTGAGACCCTCTCCCAAAATACCAGAAGTCGAGACCATCCAATGAAGTTGATGGGCAGTAGATTCAGGATGGACAAAAGGAAATACTACTTTACACAGAGACGGATTAAAATGTGGGGTTGCTGCCAGAGGATGTAGTGATGAATAAACAGCTTTAAAAGGTGATAAGAGAGATTCATGGAAGATACATCTGTCAGTGGCTACTAGCCATGGTGACTGAGGGGAACCTCCACATTCAGAGGCACTAAGCCTCTGAACCCCAGAGCCTTTTTACATTTGTGAAATGCCATTAAAGGAATTGTTTGCATATGTGAATCCCAGAGCCAGGAGCCAACATCAGGGGAAGGCCTTGGCACTGGCAACTGTGTGAGACAAGATGCTTGACTAGATAGACCACAGGTCTGATCCAGCAAGGCTTTTCTTATGTTCTCTGCTCCCGATATTAAAAATAGTATAGGATCCCTTTTTTTGTTATGTTTGGACGAACAAAGAGCACAGTTCAGGGACAGCCTTTTCAAGGCAACGGACAAAGTACCTTCTCTTGACTTCCTCCTCTCCAATCACAGGTGATGGGTCTTCTCACACAAGATCTTTCCCCGTGGCTTGGGTTCCAAACTGCAATGTTTTTTCACTCTCCAGGGCTTCTTTACAAATGCCACTTCCCATTTGTTGACTTTCTGTGGTTTCTTCGTTTGTTCCTCTGTCCTTTCCCAAATCCCATCAAAGTTGGCTTGAGAAAGCGTGAGGAAACAAAGAAAGACAACAAGTAGGAAATGATGTCATGAAGTAGCTTGGAGAAAAAACTGCTGCAGCTGTGGAACTCCAGGACAACCTCCATGTGAAAAGGACCAATAGTCACATATGCTCCATGCGGATCCCCATTTTGTGCAATTCCTTTGCCTGAAAAGGCGGCGGCGGGGGGGGGGGGGGGGGGACAATGTGGCATCTGTGTATCTTGAGATGATTTGTGTAGGAGGACGACCACTCCCACGCCTCCAACCACATGAAGACTCTTGCTGACCTGGGATGAACTGGGCCTTAAAGCACTTTGCATACTCACAGTGTGTCTGTTAGGATGCCTCCTTTGCACAAAACCAGAAACTGGGTGCGAGGCTTTTGTTCTGCAGTACAGCAACGTGACAACTCTCTTTTCTCAAAAGAGAGGTGCCGGGATCCATGCCGGCACATCATGTGCTCTGGGATACCCTGCCCCTCAACATGACCAACAGTGGGCACGAGCGGTGGCGACCTCAACAGCCACGAGACCGAACTCTGCATACGCTCAGAGGCGCTCCGTCAAATTATTATTACACCTTTCGGGTCTTGAGCCTGAAATTGCAAATCCTGGGGCTTTCGTCCTGGCTTGCCAGGGGTGCTGAGCAGTGTTCCCTCTAAGCTGAGTCAGTGTGAGCTAGCTCACACTGACTCAGCTTAGAGGGGACACTGCTCAGCACCAATGTTCCCTCTAAGCTGAGTCAGTGTGAGCTAGCTCACACTGACTCAGCTTAGAGGGGACACTGCTCAGCACCAATGTTCCCTCTAAGCTGAGTCAGTGTGAGCTAGCTCACACTGACTCAGCTTAGAGGGGACACTGCTCAGCACCAATGTTCCCTCTAAGCTGAGTCAGTGTGAGCTAGCTCACACTGACTCAGCTTAGAGGGGACACTGCTCAGCACCAATGTTCCCTCTAAGCTGAGTCAGTGTGAGCTAGCTCACACTGACTCAGCTTAGAGGGGACACTGCTCAGCACCAATGTTCCCTCTAAGCTGAGTCAGTGTGAGCTAGCTCACACTGACTCAGCTTAGAGGGAACATTGGTGCTGAGATTGTGACAAGGAAAGAGGGGCAGCAACAGGGGGTGGGGGGGTGGACGGGGCGGTCGGACACTCACCTTGCCGCAGCCAGGCGGCCCCCAGAGAATGAGGGAGGGGATCTCGTGGGCTTCCAGCAGGGGCCGCAAGAGGGTCTGCTCCCCCACCACCTGATCCTGCCCCACGTAGTCCCCCAACGTGTCCGGCCGCAGCTTGTCCGCCAGGGGGGTCCCTTCCAACTTTTGGGCCAGACTTTCGCCGCCCAGCGCGGGAGGGCCAGGATCCTCCTCGCCCCGCGGCTTCTCTTCCCCCCGGTCCCGGGCTGGAGACGCCCTGGCCCCGGAGCCGCTCCCCTTCTGGAACAGGGGGAACATGGGCGGGGGGCTGAGGCTGCCGCCCGGCTCCTCTCCCCGGTTGCCGCCGCCCTCCGGGGACGTGGAGAGGCGCATTTTCTTCTTGCACGGCTGCTGCAGGCCCGCCGGGGAGCTGCCGTCGCCCCCTTTCCCCTGCAAACATCTGTCCAGGTGTGCGTTGATGCCCGGGGCTGGGAGCTCCCGGGCGCAAACGGGGCAGCTCACGAGGGGCTCGTTCCCAGTCGCCGCCCCTTCCATTGCCCGGCAGAGAAAAAGAGGAATCCCTCTGGATGCACGCTGGCCCGCCCAGCGCCTCCCCTCCTTCCCTGCAAGAGCCAAATGATGATAATAATAATAATAATAATAATGCAGGTTTCAGCCAAGGGGCGAACGAGCCATGCGCTTTGCCCGGGCAGGAAGAGCAGCAAAGGAAACACCTCCTCCCTTGCCTATGGGCGCCTTTTCGACGAACAGACTTTTGGGCGTTGTAGTTCTTTGGGAAGGGCTCCGGTGGCTCAGTGGTTAAGGCGCTGAACTGCAGGCCAGAAGCCAGCAGTTCAGGAGTTCGAGACCCGAGTGCCTAGCAGTTCAAAAGCAAGAAGTTGCAAGTAGATAAATAGGTCTTTGAACCTAGCAGTTCAAGAGCAAGAAATTGCAAATAGATAAATAGGTGTTTGAACCTAACGGTTCAGCATACTAGGTTTCCCAGTGTGGAAACTGAGCTTCTAATGGGAAAAAATGTGTGATTATCTCTGACTGTGACAGGAGCAGATGAGCTAGGGTTGCCAGCTCTCAGTTGGGGAATACCTGGAGATTTGGGGGGGGGGCGGAGCCCGGAGACGGTGGGGTTTGGAAAGGGGAGGGACCTCAGCAGCATATAATGTCATGGTCCCTCCCCTTTCCAATAGGTATGTGAACCTAACAGTTCAAAAGCAAGAAATTGCAAGTAGATAAATAGGTACCACTTCGGTGGGAAGGTAACAGCATTCAGTGTGCCTCGGTGTCTAGTCATGCTGGCCACATGACCACGGAGACGTCTTCGGACAGTGCTGGCTCTTCAGCTTGGAAACGGAGATGAGCACCGCAACCCTAGAGTCGGATTTGACTGGCTTTCGAGCAAGGGAAACCTTTACCTTTACTAGTTCTTTGGGACTGGAGGTTTGGATGGGTTAGCAAAGCTATAGTGGGACGTTTCCTCGGATCCCAGCCGCGCTGAGAGTCGGCGCCATGGGATTCACAAAAGAAGAACGTTTTAAGGCTTCTGGATTACTGGTAAATTAAACAGGGTTGTGACTCTCAGGAGATGATCAGCACAAAGTTTGATTCCAGTGGCACCTTTAAGACGAACAAAGTTTACTTCTGGGGAGAAGCTTTCCTGTGCATGCACGCTTGGTAGGGTTACCAGTTCTGGGTTGGGGAAATACCTGGAGATTTGAGGGGTGGAGTCCGGGGAAGGCATGGTTTGAGGAAGGGAGAGACCTCAGCAAGGTATAACACTATAGAGTCCACCCTCCAAAGCATCTGTTTTATCCAGGGATATTGATCTTGGTCGCCTGGAGAACAACAGTAGCGCCGGGAGATCTCCAGCTGCCACCTGGACGTTGGCAACCCTATATAAAACTTCTATCCAGCATTACACTTTCTTGGTCTTAAAGGTGCCACTCTTGGTCCAGTTGCTTCAGACCAACATGGCTACCCACCTGAATCTATTTTCACAGGAGAATATCCGTTTGTGTAGCTAAAGCTCTACTCACCGTAAGGTTGCCAGCCTACAGGTGGTGGCTGAGGATCCTCCGGAATTACAACTGGTCTCCAGGTGACAGAGAGAGTTCACCTGGAGAAAATGGTTGCTTTGGAAGATTGACTCCATGACATTATATGCTGCTGAGGTCCCTCCCCTTTCCAAACCCCACCCTCTCTGGGCTCCGCCCCCCAAATCTCCAGGTGTTCCCCAACTGAGAGCTGGCAACCCTAACTCATCTGTTCCTGTCACAGTCAGAGATAATCACACTTTTCCCCGTTAGAAGCTCAGTTTCCACGCTGGGAAACCTAGTATGCTGAATTTCTAATAGTGGAGGCGAATAAACTGACAGTACAGTATGCGTGTTGCTCAGAAAAACCTAGTAGCGCCTTTAAAGACTAACAAAATTGGTGATAGGGTGTGAGCTTTCGGTGAGTCACTGCTCACTTCTTCAGAAGAACCTGAATATGATTCTTAAACATGTCATCCTTCTATTGCTCTGTGTTCTATGTTGGTTTCATGGGGTATTTTATATATTATAACCCTAATATAACCGTCAGGGCTATTTTTGGGCAGGAACGGAGTTCCGACTGGCTCCCAAGTTGGCCACGCCCAGCAGGAACTCATTAGCATAACAGGCCACCCCCAACAGCAGGAACTCATTAGGATTGGCTACATTAGGGGTGTGTGGCCTAACATGCAAAGAAGTTCCTCCTACAAAAAAAGGCCCTGGGTTTGGACAACAAACAAGGCAAACAGAATAAGAAGCAAAAGGTGGGTGTGGCTGGATGACCACACTTCTAGTAACATGGAGGTGCGGACTAATGCGCTAATGAGCGTTTGCTGTCAGGGGTGTGGCCCAATATGCTAATGAGTTCCTGCTGTTGGGTGTGGCCTATTATGCTAATGAGTTCCTGCTGGGCTTTTTCTACAAAAAGAGCCCTGATAACCGTAATATTATAATATAATAATATTACCCTAATTGTATATATTATAACCCTAATAATGTGTGTTTATACCCACCTGAATCTATTATTTGTATGAGTTAGGTCCAAAATGACAAGGAAGATATCATTCAATAGTGATCCAAGACACTTCACACAAACATTAAAGGTGCCATTAGACTCAAACTTTTGTTCTCATACAAACATTGTAAAGGAGTTTTGAAGATTCATGCTGTCGTTAAAAATACTATACAATAAAACTTTTGAAAATCTGTACTAAATGTCCAGCTTCACTATAGGCTCTAAAAGGGTTCTTTGCCTCCCCCCCCCCAAACCCTTGGAGAGAGAGATTTGTGTTTTATTTATTTTGTATTTTGTATTTATTTATTTTGTTCTTATGGTAGGTATGACGCACTATACTTAGCTTAGGGATAAAATGTGAAGTCAATAAAATTCAGTTGCGCAATACACTATTTTTTAGCGTTATATATAGTGTTCTAAAAATGAACCGATGATTTACCTATACACCCACATATGTATAATATATGTCTTTTCCGGAGAACTAAATTCACCATCATACCAATATTTCCTGTTTGTTTCCTTTTGCTGCAGACAACAAAGAGGTGAAATCAGGACTCACTCCTATTCACTGTTCTGTGGAGCCAAGATGGAGAAGTGTCAAGATGGTAATGTAATAGGATGCCCTACAAGGTTCTATAAGATTAACCATATGGAAGAAATGAATACACGGCACTACAATAGCAGACAGGACAGAATGGCCTTCTTCCATAGCCTGGAAACGGTGAAAAGTTACACTGAGTATGAAGAGGTATGAGTTATGAGTTTGTTATGCTGGTTGTTGTGTTCCTTTTTGAGCATGTCCTCTCACATGCTTATTTTCCTAAGTACATACGATGTAAACTGTTGGTTGGCTGTGAGTTCCTCCTAGACAGTTGACTTGCTGTGATGTCATACAATGTTCACTGACATTCTAACTGCTTATGAAGAGGTATGAGTTATGAGTTTGTTATGCTGGTTGTTGTGTTCCTTTTTGAGCATGTCCCCTCACATGCTTATTTTCCTAAGTACATACGATGTAAACTGTTGGTTGGCTGTGAGTTCCTCCTAGACAGTTGACTTGCTGTGATGTCATAGAATGTTCACCGACATTCTAACTGCTTAAGGAGATGAAAGATTCCTAGGCATTATACTGCTGATCTAAAAGTCACCATTCTCTATTAAAAAAAAGTCTTCAAAGGGAGAGTACAGTGTGACATTTCAGAATTTAAGGTCAATACTATGTTCTTCTCCCAGATCTTACTTTATCAACTTTATTTTATTTTATTTATATCCCATCCTCCCCCACAGGCGGGCTCAGGGCAGTCACAACTGTCATATCACAACACGGTTACCAAAAATCATAATAAGAATGTTCAAACATACAGTTTACAAACAGATTAAAATCACTTCAGTAAGATGGCAAACCAGTTCGTGGGAGCCCAGAATGCCTCCTGCATGGGTGCAGCTAGGTGATCAATAGACAACCAGTTTGCCAGAGAGTGTTGTGCAGATTTCTGTAGCACCGAGGGGCCATTAAGTCCCTGGTGGCCTAGGGCTTTGAAGGTTAAGACCCAAGCCTTGAAATGGATCCAGTACTCAATTGGCAGCCAGTGCAATTGGTGCAACACGGGCTGAATACACGCCCGCACAGACGTCGCAGTCAGCAAGCGTGCCGCTGCATTTTGCACAGGGTGCAGTTTCCAGGTCAGATTCAAGGGCAGCCCCACATAGAATGCATTATAGTAATCCAGTATCAAATGACCATTGTGTGGATCACTGTAGCTAAGTCCCGGGAGGAGATAGGGGACCAGTTGCCTGACCAGCCGCAGATGATAAAAGGCTGTTCTGGCTACATTGATGACCTGAGCCTCCATGGAAAATAAGGCATCCAGGATCACACACCCCAGGCTTTTCACGCTCAGCGCTAGCATCAACAGTGCCCCATCAAGGGTTGGAAGCCGGATTCCCGATCACACACACACACACACACGCCATGGCTCTGGTACTGGCCCTCCATCTTTGCTGGATTTAATTTGAGCCAACTCTGTTGTAACCATCCAGCCACGGCCCCCAGCCCCTTCCCCGCAATGGCTGGGGTGGAGTTGGACCGTCCATCCAACAACAGATAGATCCGGGTGTCATCTTAACAAGGATTTGGGATTTCCCCCTCACTGTAGGTGCCAGTATGTTAGCATCCTTTCCCAATACTTCTAATCCTCCGTTCAAAGTCATTCTGATCCTTATGCCTCTCATTAGAGCCAAGATACTAACATTTTTTAAAATTCTTACCCTCAAGAATATAGCCTTAGCATCTGTGTCGCAACTTGCAACAGCAAAATTAGGGGGAGTTTTAAATGAACCCAGGACGGTGACTAACAGAAAAGTTATTTCTATGTTAAAGGACTCTTTGATAACTGAATTGCAGCAGGACAACAATAAGGCTCGCTCACAACTTTAATGCCAGTAGCTCACAAAGTAGAATTTTTGCTCACAAGACTTCACAGCTTAGAGGGAACATTGCTGGAGATCAGTTAAAATTCTGGGAGATCTCCAGGTTCCACCTGCAGGTTGGCAGCCCTACATTGGGGTAGCATAACATTTTTGATATT